AGGGATATAGGGATATAGGGATATAGGGATATAGGGATATAGGGATATAGGGACAAGGGTCTGTGCAGTGAGAGGGGGACAGGGACAGGTTGGCACAGCAAGGCTGGGATGGGGACATGGGGACACACAGTGAGGACCCTGGTCAGGCTTCACCTGGAGGACCCAGAGGACCCAGAGCTGTGACAAGGGGTGAGGACACGTCACCCCCTGCAGTCCCCAGCCCTGCTGGCCCCAGCCCCAGCCCCCTGCCACCCACCCCGTGCCCTGTGCCAGTGGGATTTGTGCCCGAGCCCACGCTCAGTGACGGGAATTGCGGCACCTCCTCACTGCCAGCCTGGCCCTGTGCCCTTCACCCTTCCCAGCCCAGCTCCCTGTCCCTGGAGCCACCGCCTGTCCCTGTTCCCAGTCCCGCCGTGTGTCCCCATGTCCCTGGTGCAGCCCGGTGTCCCTGTCCCCAGTGCATCCACACACCCCAATTCCCTCTGCACCCGTGTTCCCGTTCCCAGTGCAGTTCTGTGTCCCTGTCCCCAGTGCATCCATTGTCCCAATTCCCTCTGCACCCGTGTTCCTGTTCCCGGTGCAGCCCCGTGTCCCTGTCCCTGATGCGACCCCACATCCCCCTTCCCGCTGCATCCCTCTGCCCGTTCCCAGCGCAGCCACAAATCCCTGTTTCCGGTGCCACCGCGTGTCCCTGTCCCCAGTTCAGCCAGGAATTGTCCCCACGCCCCCATTGCAGCCCGGTGTCCCTGTCCCCATCCCCGACCCGTCCCCACATCCCCGTTCCACCTGCATCCCCGCTCCCCGTCCCCACCGCATCCCTGTGCCCCATTCCCGGTGCAGCCACGTCCCCATGTCCCCAGCGCAGCCCGGTGTCCCCCTCCCTGCTGCGGCCGCGTGTCCCCGCGCCCGTCCCCGCTCCATCCCCACGCCCCCATTCCCACTCCATCCCCACGCCCCCATTCCCGCTGCCTCCACGTGCCCCATCCCGGGCGGGCGCTGCCGGGCGCTCCCCGCGCCGTGCCAGGCAGGTTTCCCCATGCCCTGACTGACAGCCGGGCCGGCCGGGAGCAGATACGGCGGCGAGATTAACGCGGGTCTAATTAAACCCCAAATTAAGGCTCCCATTTAACCCCGCTCCGAGCCGGCAGCTCCGTCGCCGCGTCGCGGAGAGGTCGAGTCCCGACAGTAATTCCTGCTCCCCGGTGAGGAAACCGCTCCCTCCGGGCACGCCGTGACCTGGCACGCACTGCGGGCACGGGAATCCCATCGCGATAATCCCGATAGGGATCTCTGCCAGGCAGGCAGGTGCCCTTGTCCTCGGGGAGCAGGTGGGCAGCGCCGTGCCGGCTGTTCCCGGGGGTGCCAGCTATTCCCGGGGGTACCAGCCGTTCCCAGGGGTGCCAGCCGTTCCCAGGGGTGCCAGCCATTCCCAGGGGTGCCAGCCGTTCCCCGGGACACCACGGCTGGCGCTGGGCTGGGTCCTCGTCCCCGTGATGGCACGGCTTGGGGACAGGGATAGGGTTGTGTCCCACCGTTTACTGGGAGAACCCCAGGGCGAGTGTGACACCCCCGTGGGAAGTGGGGTCACCCCGTGGGGGCTGTGATGCCCCAAAGGGGGCTGTGACCACCCCATGGGGCTGTGACCACCCAGTGGAGTCTGTGACACCCCAAAGGGGGCTGTGACACCCCAAAGGGGGCTGTGACCACCCCATGGGACTGTGACCACCCCATGGGGACATCCCTTGGGGCTGTGACCACCCAGTGGAGTCTGTGACACCTCTGTGGGGCTGTGACACCCCAAAGGGGGCTGTGACACCCCAAAGGGGACTGTGACCACCCCACGAGGGCTGTGACAACCCAGTGCCACCACCGTCCCTGACCCAGCTGGCACCGTGCCCACCGTGCCACCCCCAGCAGTCTCGGGGTCCCCCCCAGGCTCCCGCCAGCACCTCGGGGGGGGTGTTCGACATCACCCCAGCGTCACCCCCTCGGGGCTGTCTGGGCGCTGTGGGCCCCCCCCAAAACCTCCGGGGGAGGATCCCGGAGTGTCTCTCCCCGTCTGAAGCCCCGCGGCCGCCCCCGGGGGTGTCCCCTCGGGACGGGGCGACCCAGACGGCGCAGCCCCGTGGCACCCGCTGCAGACCCCCCCGGGGTGACCCCCCCCGGGGCACCCCGAGATCAGCACCCACCCACGGGTGCGGGGGGGGGCACAGGGACGTGCTCACAGGCACGCGGCGCGCCGGGGGGGGGGTCACAGGCGTGGATGTCACCCCCTCCCCGTCCCCCGCCCTGCACGGACATGCCCCGACCCCGCTACTCCTCCCCCCGACCCCCCCCCCCAATTTGTTTTATGGCGGAGCAGGAAATTGCCGCCCTTTCCGGAGCCGGGAGCGTTTGAAGTGCTCGGCCCCCAGGGCTGGGAGGGGGCTCGGGTGTCCCTCTGTCCCCCCTGGAGCTTGGGGGGACATCCCTGCCCTTCCATCCCCCTGCTCCTGGGGGGACAGGGAGGTGACTCTCCTCCTCTCTCCCTCCATCCCTCTCTCCCTCCATCCATCCCTCCATCTCTTTGTCTCTCCCTTCATCCCCCACCCCTATTTCCCTGGGGACAGGGGTGTCCCCAACCCCAATCCGGCACCGCCCCTGCCCCGTGCCAGCCCTTCCCACCCCCCTCCATCACCCACGGGGCACATGGAGGGTCGTGTCCCCCCTCCCCCGGGCAGGACCGGGCTGTGCCCAGCTCCGGGGGCAGCTCTGGGGGGTGTGGGGGGGTCGCTGCTGCCTCGTGCCCACCCGCACACGGGGTCCCGCTGCGTTTTTGGGGAGAACCGACCCCTCCTGCCCCCACCCCGACTCCGGCAGGACCCCGAACCCCCCCCCCCCCCCCCCCCCGGCCCCCCCCCCATCCCTTCCCGGAG